TCTTGACGGAAGTATTCTCGCAGGAACCCTGCATGCCCATGACGGACCTTCGCTAGCCAAGAAGAGTGTGGATCAGAGCCACGGGGGGTGGTGTGGTTTCTCTGAAGTGCTTCCAGAACTGACAATTGTGCGAAGGAGCCAGATTTGGAAAGGCAAGGTGTAGCATTACCGGGCCTGTGCCTGCTGTGTGGTCCTGGTGTCTACCTTGCAAAAGATGGTTTCTGAGAAACAGGCGGACAGTCAGTGTTGTCTAAGGTGGCAGGTTCCATTACCGGTTAATAAGGAGAACCGTGGCCTGGACTAGCAGTGTGGATGTCCAGTGGCAGCCATGGTGGCAAAGTGGTGGCGTTTGTTTCTAATATGACCAAGGCGTGGGCTTCAAAGGGTTCTCTGTCTTGGAGACTGGCTGCTACGACTTGTATTCTCCACTCTGGATACTTTTGTGCCAAACCATCAGAGGGCTCTGACTAATCAGAGGTCACTGACTGACTCATTATGGTCTTCTGTTCTGTGACTCGATGGGTGGAGTCTGTTCTGTGACCGATGGGTGGAGCTTGTTCTGTGACCAATGGGTGGAGCTATCTACAGGAATGTTTTTGAATTTGACTCTACATAGACAGGGGCAGAACGCAGGGGGTAAAATGGAGCATCATGTGAGCAATGGTATTTGTGTCAAAGTTCCACAAATCAATCACATGGCTCCGCAGCTGATCATGCGACTGTCCTGGCGACATACGTAGCAGATTAGAGAGAAAGAGAAGCAGGAATTCCCTAATGAAATATTAAGGTTTAAATAAGGACATATGCTTCATTAATTCATCTCCTAATTATGACGTGTGCATTAAAATGATCAGAATGGCTACAAAAGGCAATTCAACAAAAACAATTGAACATAAACTCGGACTGAGCCGACTCATTTGGCATTTTCAACTCCTGAGAGCAACTCATTGTTCTGCGTGGGCTTTACGGAACAGCAAAGGCTTGGGTTTTTTGTTTGTTCCCATACCAAGCTAGCTTTGCTTTGGATCAACATCAACTTCAACATGATTAGCAAGCGGCACATGGCCTGCCCCTGCTTTGGGATGTCACAGACGGATCTGCTGGCAAACCAAAAGCCATTTGGCATAAAAAAAGACACACACTGAAGGAAAAATTCCAATCGGCTTTAGTTCTCGGCCACGGTGTGCAGCAAAACTGAATGCCACAAACTTCTGGGTGTGGTTGGATTTTTTTAACCACACCCTTTTCATTTTGCAGCTACATTACCTTAAGAATCCACTAGTCTTAATAGCATTTAAAATGTTTTCATGCCCTCCGATCCTGTGGGTCAGGGTTTCCCAAATATTTTCAGCCACAGAGGCCCTACCCTGAAAATATGGTGAGTCCTTAGAATATGGGTGTCTTTTTAATTCAATAGGTACCCAAATAAATAGACAAAGTTTTGGAATTCTATTTTTATTTCCTGTGTATTTCTTACAATATTGGTTTTTTTTTCAAGAAAACTATCAGAAAATTAGTTACAAATTAGCAAGGTCATACAATGGTCATTAATATTTTCTTGCAGAGCTCCTAGACCAATCGCGTGGCGGCCCAGAACTCCATGGAGCACGGTTTGGGAAACTGAGTCATTCCCTTCCAAAGGAATAAGATTCTTACAGGTCTTACATATAAGTTAATGTCCATTTCTTACCCTTGGTTCATACTCATTTTACTAAATGAAAGATCCCTATAAACAAAAAAAGCACCCTGCAGGAGTGTGGAGTGTAAACAAGCTAAGACGTCTTGTGCGTCTACTAAAATCAGCGACCGCTACCAGTTCGCCAATGGAGGTGATATTTTCAGCAACTTTTCCTTGACATCTCAAAGTCACCCCATTGTTTCAGGCCAATTCCACAATCTGAATACACAGGGAAGCCTTAGAACTTAACTTCATTTGCAAAGGTATGAACAACGCCATTGGCTGGATGGCCCACTACATTCCACATCCTAATGACATAAAAACAAACAAACAATGGGCACTTAAGAACAATTTGCACCTTCTCTATCAGCTTCATGTAGCATGGAGACTCTAATTGACTATTTCTTTCCCTTTTTCCCCTTCTCTCCCTCCCCCATCCTCTATTTAGAATCTGGACTTTTACTAACTCCGTTCATCTGAAGAAGTGGGTTGTGCCCAAGAAAGCTCATGATACCATCCACATGTTTTGTTAGTCTTTAAGGTGCTGCAAGACTATTGGTTGTTTTTTACGTTTTCCAGTAACACGCTAACTCAGCTACCCCTCTGAAGTCCAAAAAATAGGCTCATTTGAGTAAGCCAGGTTGCAAGGGGAGGAGATTTGGTCTGCTGAAACAATGCCATGTGTGTGGCTAATGACAAAATATTCTGATGGTGTGGGTGTATTTACTGGACACTTCCTATTACTGTGGAAAATCTCTGTCAATTCTACCTTGCTTGATACTAAGAAGAGTGTTACAAGGAGGAGGGAGAAAAATTGTTTTCCTTGGCCTCTGAGGACAGAAGAAGGAGCAATGGGCTTAAATTGCAGCAAGGGAGGTTGAGGTTGGACATTAGGAAAAACTTACTGCCTGTCAGGGTGGTTAAACACTGGAATAAATTGCCTACGGAGGTTGTGGAATCTCCATCACTGGAGATACTTAAGAGCAGGTTGGACAGACACCTGTCAGGGATGGTCTGGCGGTGCTTGGTCCTGCCGTGAGGGCAGGGGACTGGACTCGATGACCTCTCGAGGTCTCTTCCAGCTCTAGGATTCTATGAGTCTATGATTCTAAGTAATTCCCAGCTTTCTCCGCCACTACTCAGGAGAACAGCTGGGTGCATTCTGAACTGGCCAGCGACATGCCTTTGGCAGGCTATGAAGGAAATGTATTTCCCCGAAGGATTTCTCAGTAAGTGCAAAGGATGTTTTGCAGAAGATCTGATTTTATATTATAAATAGAAACTGAAGCTATTGTCCTGTCCCTTCCAGCTTTGTTCTGCGAATACAGCTGCAAGCCCATGCTGTTTATGGTGAGAAGTGATTTATGTTTCTACAGACACACACAACACTATGTTTCTTCTAGATTGCTTGGGCCCGCTCCTTAGCTGATATAAACTGTTGTCATCCCCCTGGCTTTAATGGAGTTTCCCTAATTTGTAACAGTGAAGGATCTGGCCCAAGCAGCAGAATAATTTTTTAAAAACCATCAGCGCTCCCTAATATCAGACAGGTGACATGTACAGAATTCCTTCCCCCGTCCCGCATGCCCACAGCTCTGCAGAAGAGAAAATGTGAGTTACGCTGCCAGCAGACTATATTCCAAGGATCTGTTACTTGTTGCTTTTGTTTGTCCTGACTGAGAAACTCTGAGCTTCCCTGCTTTTAATAGCTCCGGCATCCCAGGAAACCGGAATGAAACACGGCTACTAAAAAGGCTGCAGGTACCGAGCAAGGAGCGGTTTGGGTTTTGTTCTGGGACGATTTAGCATCACTGACAGGCTAGAGATACGTTCTGCACTGAGGCAAATCAAGGTAGCCTTTACAGAGACGCTGGCATTTGCTCAACGTTTGGCCCTGAGCTGTCTTTCGGCCGAGGCGAATGAAAGGCAACGAATGCCCACAGACAGCACTTTTATTACGGGGAGTTTAAACGCGCTCACTTGTTAAAAGCACAGTCAAGATCAAATCCAAATACACACTTACGATGGAAGGTGGAAATTGGCTCCACATGCATGAGTGGCGAGAACAGCTTAGATTTTACAAATGTACTGAATTTTCACCACTGATGTTGTTTTCAACACCTCGCCAAGGGCTCCATCCTGAAACGGGATCTGCACAACTAGGACCCGGCAGCTGCCTGAAAAGCTTTTGAAAGAAATGGGGAACAGCTTGTATAGATCCGGTGGCTGGATCGAGATCGAAGCTTGGACAGCGGGACCAGATGGGTGAGTTTAACTTTCTGTGTCGTCAGTTTCCCATGAACACGCCTCTTGGAACGGCTTCTTGGCTTTGGCACGTGTTGGAATGGACAGGCAGCACGCACAGACCCTTTCTCAGTCGCCCAGCTTGTGGGAGGAAAACACTTTTGTGCGCTTTCAGGAATAAGGATTTTTAACCAGTGATGTACGAGAGATACGTCCCGGCATCTTTTAAACCATATTCCAGGAACAACAGTTGCCCCCCAGCTGTAAGTACAGTGACAATTTTTTCCCACTGGTAACTGCTGAACACCCCTGACCCCACAGTGTGCATAACCCCAAAACTTTGTCAGTAATGTCTTAATCAATCTTAGGAGAACCAGGTCTGAAAGATTAGGGCGTTGTAAGGCCACATAATTACCTGTCTTATTAATTGGGATGATGAATTTTAAAGTCTCAGAGGCTTACAATTCCTCTGCCCTGCAAGGTGAATCCTGTGGTGTATCACTGCATTCCTGGAATGAGACACTGTCACCCCCTAGGAAAGGTGGCGTTTCTACGATGTCAGCATTATATTTTCAAAAGGGATGAAAGTTCCCATTTTCTACCAGTGAGTTATTTAAAAAAAAAAAGCCAATAAGAAAGAGAACACCAGACTTTGTAGCTTTCTGGGCCCTTTGGTGGTCTTATCTCGACGTGACACAAAGGTGTGCTTTGCAACCCTGTCATTTCAACACAGCGCACTGCACACGACTGGAAAAACAACGAACGCCTTTGAACAGATGAGCCTGTGGCTCTATGAGCGCGAAGAGGCCGTTTGATAACCGAGCGGGGGTAACGACACAGAAACACCGCACCGCGTGCGCCACGGGCGCAGAGCCAGCCCACAACATTTTGGCACCTGAGGCAGGGAGCTCAAATGACACCCCCATACCTCTCGCTTGGGCCAAAACTTTGAAAGGTCTCCATTCTCTGGAGCCTAGTGGTGCCCCTCCCCTAGTCTGGCACCTGAGGCGGCTGCCTCAGTTTGCCTCATGGTAAGGCCAGCCCAGCATGGGCGAGTGGATCTGCGTATCTCTCTTACCTTTGGCTGCAGCGGCGGGGGGGGTGGGGCTAACACTGGATCCGTAAGGTAGGTCTTCTTTGTGCCGGGTGGTTGGTACGACCCAGCTGCGTTCTGGGCGACGGTGTTAGCTGTGGGATAGGCCGGCTCGGGTTTCCAGGTGGCTTGCGGCATGTAGGACGGTTCTGAGCCATTTCTCCCTCCGTATCCAGGGCCTGCTGAGTAGTAAGGATCTTGATACTGCCCCTGCGAGGCTGTGTAGCCATAACCGGGCTCGGAAGGACGGAAGGGCTGAGGCGCGTACCCGTAGTCAGGGCCACGAGGCTGAGGTGGCGCGTACTGAGCTGCCCCCGGGGGGCGTGCTGGCTGAGGAGCATACGACTGGTTTGGACCCAGGCTGCCGTACTGTGGGCCTGGCGGCTGGAAGTGAGGGCTGGGCTGGGCTGTTTTCACCTGTACGTTGAAGGCCGGTTGGGTGGGAGTGGACGCAGTGGTGTAAGAAGCTGGGACTGGCTGCGGCTGAGGCTTGAGCGTACCGACTGGAGTGATTGGGATGGGGGCAGGCGGAGCAGCAGGCTGCACAGGGGCCTTGGCAGTCGATTTCTTGGTGGCAGTGAGCGGCGGCTGGTTGGGAATGATCATCCGCTTGTGCCCAGTAACCGGGGTGGATCCCGGAGGAGAAGTCACTGGGGAGCCAGTGGGGAACCCAGAGCCCTACGGAACAATCAAAGGAGAAAAATCTTGTCACCGGCGAGAAGCAAACAAACAGCTGGTAAAAACAAGTCGCGCTGGTTCCGGAGGAATAGGGTCTGACAGCCACATCTGTGCCGCTGCTGAAACGGCTTAGCCAAGCGGGGACATACCCGGGATTACACACGCTAACACAGCAACGGAAACTCGGGATGTAACAGTATCACCGTTTAAACGGGTAACCAACATGCACAAACTTGGCGGTTACACGCTAAAACAGCAACGGAAACTCGGGATGTAACGGTATCACCGTTTAAATGGTTAACCAACATGCACAAACTTGGCGGTTACTGTCATGGTTACACGCCAGCTCCCAGCGAGCTGGCTGCCACCCCACGCTACTGACTCTCTATCAGAGCCTGCAGGGCAGCAGCCAGCTCCCTGGGAGCGGGGCCAGGAGTGGGGCTGCAGGAGGGACCTGGCTGCCGCCCCACCCAGTGGGCTCTGCAGTATAAAGTTTATACTGCAAAGCCTGCAGCACAGCTGGCTCCCTGGGTGTGGGGCCGGCTCCCGGCATGCATTGGCTGCCGTCCCTGCTCCCAGGAAGCCGCAGCATGTCACCGCTGAGTTTTACACGGTTACCTAATTAACCATTTTAACATCCCTACTGGGAACCTTTCCAGGCTCTGTCACAACAGGGGCAAAACTGGTGCCACAGAACAGACCTTGCCATGCAGGGGATTTCATTTTTCTCTGGGATTCAGACTCTACAAAAATCAACCATGAGCAAATACATGTTATCAAAGCCATACACAGTACCCAGATGCCGTGCAAAAGCAAAGTACAGAGCTATGCCAATACACACATCTAGAGCCCAGTGTGACTACAGTGAGGTCAAACGGTGTAAATCGGTGTCAGAACAGAGCGGGAGGTTTAAATCCTCGAAATCCAGTGTGATTAATTTATAGGGCACTGGACCAGGATCCAAGAGACATCGGTTCTATCTACAGCCCGGCAGGAGTGTTGTGAGAACAGGCCTGCCCGTGGGACTGAGTGGACAAATGCAGAATGAGCAATACGACATCATCACAGGTACTGAGCAATAGACAGAGGAGAATTTAGGTCTCACATGTCTACGCCATTTATGGGTTTTGGTTAAGATCTATTTAGCCCCACTCTGTAATGAAAGGGTGTCTTTGCCCAGGAATCAACCCCATCAAAGGCATAGGAAAGTTCTTCAAATTCCCCTTGTTTTCCTCTTTTTCTATTAGAAAGTTGATATATTTTCCCTGCTTTCATTATCTAGAGGAACAGCAGAAAAGTGAAGAAATGTACTGTTTAAAATTCCCCTTGCTTGTCACCGTTACGTTGGTCTGAAGTGGTGTTCCAAGTTTCATAAGAGCTTTCTGCATCTGGATGAATTTTACCCAGAATCAATTCTGCATTCTAAAAGGACACAGGTCTCATTAAAGTGAACAGACTCCCATGTTGGTGGACAGTAAGGCTGCATTCGATGGTAGGAAAATATTTCATGCCCACAGATTACCAATCTTATACATAGGTGTGTGCGGCACATTTCATTAGACTGTGCACTCAGGGAATTATATTTTATTCTTTTTTAAAGGCAAACATTTATTGAATACTCAATCACAAAGGACATTATTTTTATTCATCAAACAAACTAAAGAAACTAAAACTTAACTAAACTTATTTTTTTTAAATTAACACCTAAACTTTACTTAAAAGAACGTATCATGCGATTAAATTAAAACGCAAAGCCACTTTTTTTTTAAGACATTAGGTGTGCCTGGGCACACCCGGCACACCTCCTGCGCACGCCTATGATCTTGTATGAGTTGCTACCAAACCCAAGACAACAGTGGAAAAGAGGAACTATATTATTTACGGACCCTTCTTAAGTCACATACATAAAAAGCCATTCCATCTCCTGTACCCCTCACACAAAGAAAACCCAGTAAAAAAGAATAAGAACATCTCAAATGGAATCTACCATTAGGCAGAGAATTTATAATCATTAGCTATCAGGGGGGACTTAGACGGGAAGATTTCAAAGTGGGGGCCGCAGCGTTTTTTAAATGCCTTACAGTGGTGGAAGCAACTTCAGAGCAAACTCCAATGGTGAAGGAGTCGCCATTGTCGAGGAAGACAAATGTCGAGGAAGGAAGAAAAATGACAGTACACGTCCGACCCCAAACAAGTGAGAGAGGGGAAAGAAAACAAGGCAGCAAGCTTCAGCTGGAGAAAAACACAGCGGACTGCATTTAACCCCTGACTTTCCATACAACTGTGGGATTCCTGGGAAAAGGGCGATACAGTGAGGGGAGGTGGAAAGATGTAGGAGTGAGAGCAGAGAAGCAAAAGGGCGGAGGGAGAGGAAGTGATTCAGGGCCCTGCAAGTGAGGAAAAGAGCATATTTTGCTCACCTAATGAGAAACTTTGCTTGTTGTCTGAGCTATTGTGCGCCCCGGGAATGTGGCATTTGAGCCTGACTGTGCCAGTCTCTCTGGCTATGTCTACACTCGCGGCTTCTTGCACCGGAAATATGCAAATGAGTTTAAGTGTGGAATATCGCCAAGCCTCATTTGCATAGCTAATGAGCCGCCTTTTTTGCAGAAGAGGCTCTTGCACCAGAAGGAGCTGTCTACACTGCCCCTTCTGGTGCAAGGAAAACCCTCTTGCGCAATGCCGTTCTTCCTGAAAATAATCAGTGTAGCGGTATTGCGCAAGAAGGTTTTTGTTGCTGCAAAAATGGCAGCTCATGAGGTATGCAAATGAGGCTTGGCGATATTCCACACTTAGCCTCATTTGCATATTACTAGCACAAGACACCGCCAGTGTAGACATAGCCTCTGTGTATTTTGTTTCTGAAAATGACAGTTGATTGCCCCCTTACGTAAGGGGAGAAACAGGGCAAAGCATAAGTACTCCCCAGAAAGTGCTTTTCTCGGGGCAGGGTATGGAAAGGTCGACAGTGTTTCATTGACAATGGGCATGAGGGGTGGGTGGGGGAAGTGACCCCATTCACACACTGGTGCACAGCTCTTGTGTTGCTCTGAGAGAAGAGAATGAGGAAGCACGGCAAAAAACCACACGTGGAGGTTTAACCAGCCCGAGAAGGAAGGAGGTGAAGAGGTGGATAATTCACTAATCATGTGGTCAATATAATTTTTATCGACTGCCTGATTAGTCAATAAGGGAAGGCTTGCTCAGTCCTGGCGTGCGCTGGGCCCAGCAGCTTCTGTCCACGGGGGATCCAAGCAGGGAGCTGGGACCCCCTGCGGACAGGGGCTGCTGCCGGAGCAGCTTCTGCCTGTGGCGAGCCTGGGAAAGCCGCGGGCAAAGGCTGCTTTGCGGCATCCTCCCTTTGCCGCCAACAGAGCTGCTGAATCAGAGGCAGCAGCGCGGGGGAGGGGGGCTAGGCAGAACCACGGAGACAGTGCTGGGGGGAACCAGCTTTAAAGTCAGCTCCCCCCCCAGCATCGGCTCCTGCTTCCCCCCCCCCCTCCTGCCTCTGATACAGAGGGAGTGGGGGGGGGGGGGGAATAGTCAACTACTCAACTACTTGCTTACATCCCCCATGAGAAGGTGACAGTTTTAGCCCTTCCAACCCACAACAAGGGGGTTTTATTTCATTGCTTGTGTTGATTACAGACCCCCGCAGGCTAGGAAGAAGGCCGCTTTGGTGCGCCACAGGGAAGGCACCCTATAGCCCAGCGCTCTGCCGACTGACTGGAGCTATACAGTCCAAAAGGGGCACAGATTGGAGACCACATGGGCCAAGCCAAGAGCACACGGGGATCATCTCCCTCTCCCAAGGTGGCCTACCCCTGGCTAGAGCAGGGGGACAGAGAGCCAGGCGACCTGGGTTATATTTCCATCTCTTCTCCTGAGTCACTCTGGACTAGTGACCAAGGGCTGTGCTGGGTCAAACCACAGCCTGAATTCAGGGGAAGGAACTCTGTGCCAGGAGGAGTCAACAGAGCAGAGGCACCCGACTCAGTCTGACTGGATGGGATGGGGTGGGGGGACCAGTGAACAGGATGTGGTAGAGAAAGCGGGTGGAGAGCATGAGGGATCCCGGGGAGGACGAAGCTCCGTGTCCATCCCCTAAGCAGGGGCGAAAGGAGAATAGGTCATCTGCCCCACCCAGGCCTGGGTATTTGGCCATGAGTATCTCTCGTTACACACAGGGCTATTCACCTGTGTCTTAGCCCTTACTCTGAAACGGGGCTTCTCCCGGGGAAGGTAACACCAAGGAGTTCAGCCCAGAGGACATAGGTTTCTCTGTTGAGTGGTTCACTGCGGAAGAAGGGATTCAAAGGACAGGAAGGTGCTGAGGGGGGACATGATTGCTCTCTTTAAATATATTAGAGGGATAAATACCAGGAAGGGAGAGGAATTATTTAAGCTTAATACCAATGTGGACACAAGAACAAATGGATATAAGCTGGCTAGTAGGAAGTTTAGACTTGAGATTAAACAAAGGGTTCTCACCATTAGAGGAGTGAGGTTCTGGAACGGCCTTCCAAGGGAAGTAGTGGGGGCAAAAGATCTATCTGGCTTCAAGATTAAGCTAGATGGGTTTATGAAGGGGATGGTTTGATGAGATAACATGATCTTGGTAACTAATTGACCATTCACTATCAGTGGTAAATAGGTCAATGGAGGGATGATAGGAGTTACTATAGAGAACTTTCTGGGTGTCTGGCTGGTGAGTCTTGCCCACATGCGGAGGGTTTAGCTGATCGCCATATTTGGGGGCGGGAAGGAATTTTCCTCCAGGGTAGATTGGCAGAGGCCCTGGAGGTTTTTTGCCTTCCTCTGTAGCATAGGGCACAGATCACAGCTGGAGGATTCTCTGCATCTTGGGGTCTTCAAAGCATTTGAAGGCTTCAATATCTGAGATATAGGTGAGAGGATTATTCTAAGAGGGGGTGGGTGAGATTCTGTGGCCTGCACTGTGCAGGGGGTCAGACTAGATGATCATAATGGTCCCTTCTGAC